TTTTTTTTTTTTTTTTTTTTTTGGTTTTTTGAGGCAGGGTCTCACTATGTAGGTGAGACTGACCTGGAACTCACTGTGTAGCCCAGGTTGATCTCAAACTCACAGTGATCTTCCTGCCTGAGCCTCCTGAATGCTGGGATTAAGGCGTGCGCCACCACACCTGGCCTTCCATGGCTCCTTCTCCACCTGTTCTCAGCATGTCACAAGCAAACACCTGTGAATATTGATTATTCATCCTTCAGAGGCCCAGAGGGGCAGCTATGGGTCCAGTGCTGCTTTTCCAGGTAGTGGTTGGGTGAAGCAAGAGCTCTTCTCCGATAGTCCTTCTCTGCTTTATTATTGCTGCTGTTCTGAGGTGTTCGGGATTGAACTCAAGGCCTCACACATGCTAGGCAAGCACTGTACTTGAACTATACCAAATGCTCTGTTTTTGTTTCTAAATGTATATATTTGCAACATTTGAGGCCAAGTCTACTCACCTGCATATTCACTAGCTCAAAAAAGCTGTCCATCTGCTACTGTCAGGCCAAGGGTTCCTTCCCATTTTCTTAATTTTTCTCTCTCTAATTCTTTCAGAATCAGTAAAGTAGGAAGAGCCAGCCGAAGAGTCAATTGATTGTTTTAGGCCATACTGGAGGGGAAGTCCCTCTCACAATGTTGTTCTTTGTCTTTGACCTGGAAATACCTCCATTTCACTCCTATTCTGAAATGATAGCTACCCTGTTTATAAATATCTAGGATGAGGGGCTTTTTCTTAGTTTGTCGGAGACTTTGGTGACCATCTCCTGACTTCTACGGCTGCTGTTGCACATCCAGCCATTAACCCTCATCGCTGCCCCCGGCCCTGACTCTTCTAAGGTCCTCTTCACCTTCCATTGCCTACAGGTGGAGAAGGACGTGTACAGTGTGGATTTCCTTTATTCCTGGGCGTGGCACCTGTTACCTTCTTGAGTCTGAGGGATGAAGTGTTTTACTATTTCTGAAAAATTCTGAATCACCCACTCTTCAAACATTGCTTCTTCAGTGTAGATATTTTTCCCATCTGAAACTATAATTAAAGGTGTATTAGAGCCTATTATCTATTCCTATTTTTCTCCGTTTTCCATCTGCTCATGTCACTGTCCTGTGTGCTAAATGATTTCCCTGAGGGTTATCTCTGGTCTGCCATGTTTTTGTCATCTCAGATTAGTCTGCAAAGCTACTCATCCACTGAATCTCTAGTAGCTGTCATTACTTTCTCCTTTTCAGGTTGTTTTGTTATTGAAGCTTCCCAGTTATTGTTGACAGTCTCTTATTTATATAACTTCCACTACCTTTGATTTTTTGACATTAAATTACTAACTTTATGGTCTGTTCAATTTATTTGAAATATCTACATTTTAGTGAAAGATTTTTTTTTTTAATTGTGAGATTCCACTTCTAGGGACACTGTTATTTTGTGTTATTTTATTTTTGTTTGACTGTTGCACTTGAGTTTAGAATGTTTTTGCCCAGAAAGGAGTTGCTTCTGTAAGTCAACTGGATTCAACTTGAAGCGAATGACCTATGACTTTCATGGGAGAGAGATCTAATCTTTGTTTGCTCCCTCACATAGAGTAAAAAACAACCAACCAGTAGACAAGTAGCTTCACTATCTTCTTCCATGCTTTTGTCCTGGTTTCCATGAGTGTCTGATTCAAACTCCCTAGTTACAAGCACAGGATTTGGTCTTTTCCCCTGTGCTCAAGGTCCCTGAAAGTCCAAGCTTTGGACCACCAGGAACCAACAGGTGCTAAGAGGAGAGCAGTAGCTTCAGCCACCACCCCCTTTGAGCAGCTGCATCTTTTCTGAATGCCTGGAATCACGTGTGCTGTCCTGCCAACTCAGTAATGCATTTGAAAACATTCTTAATGCACTGTGTACAGAAATTTCAGCTTCTAATGCCAGAAATGCTGTCCACGTATCTCATAATTGTCCAAGAGCATATGTCTGCTTATAACGAAATGCAGGCATTCTTTAACTCCTTCCTTCCTGAATCGCTTACTGAGAAGCTGCTGTCTGCACACTACTTTAATAGACTGTGAACATAGCCATGACAGAGACTCTCATGAAGCTCATTGTGAAACATGTGAGGGTGACCAGTAAGCAGTAATTGCGGTTCAGAGTGGGTAGGAGAGACTCAGGAGAGATGATACAGGGGGTTCTCGTAGCGCCTACAAGAGGCCTGGGCTTAAACCTGAGAGCCAGCTGGCCAGGGTTTTCTGGAGGAAGTGACATCTGCCACTGCTTGGAGCATTGCATTCCTTTTAAAATGTTTCCCCACCTTTGAGCTCCCTTTTGAAACTACCCTGACGGCGATGCTCTTTCCATTTCTGTAGGATCCTCTGAAGAGACCGTCTCACTATGGCTTTTTCCTAAGAATGGTATGAAAGACAGTTAGGAGTAGGTGAGGCATTATTCTCTTGCTATTTAGCAGCGTTTGATTTCACCTGTCCTGTTTTCTGCAGTCCTGCTTCCCGGATGTCAGCTGAAATAGTCAGACCACCCTCTCGAGGAATGGCTTCACCCTGGCTTTAGGTATGTACAAATTTTTGAGACAAAGGTATTTGTTTAAAATATTGCTGAATTGTTGAAAGAGAGAAGATAAAGGGGAGTGGGGGAGGGAGGGCAATTCTATTAGCTCCAGGTTTCAAAGTTTCTAACCTAACTAGTGCTCTGTGCTCGCTAGCAGGACACTGGAGAAGTGTGAATATTATTTTTGCCTTAAAAAGTATACAAATTTAAATTAAATTAGTTTTTTAAATTTCAAAGGTCTTAGAGAAAGTTAGTATTTGGAAATGATGTAATCTCAATGAAAAGGAATACAGTTGCTGTACCCAAGAGTAGAATTTTCGCCTGTTTTTCTTGATAGTGCTGGAGAGCAAACCCAGGGCCTCATGCGTGCTAGGCAAGTGCTCTACCACTGAGCTACATCCTCAACCCCAAGAGGAAGGATTTCTTTAAAGTTTATACAGGCCGGGGATGTAGCTCAGTGGTGCCACAGCCTGCCTCACAAGCACAAGGTCCCTAGTATAGACAATGCATATTTTTATCTCATTTATTTACTAAACTTGTTTTGGAATGAAGGTTAGAAGGGCAGGATAAAATAATTATTTAATTTCTAATATTTAAATTTTGTTACTTTGTGCTGAAGTCGAATGATAATGTGGTATTATAGAAAATTTAATGAATATTAATTCTTGATGTTTTGCAAATCAAAACTGAAAGCCATTTGATATTATGGGTCAAATCAGACTCATGGAAATGGCCTGGGCCTTGCAATCGCATTAAACAGTTTAAATTCCACCTTGTCACTGTACAACTTTGGAAGAGGCACTTAAATATGTGAACGGCAGCTTCCTTAGACTAGGGAACCAATAAACTGTCAGCCAGGAGGAGTCTTAAAGGAGGGTAACAAGTGTCCCACAGGCAAGAAGAGGTCACTGCCTTCTGGATTATGCATGTGAACTTCCCGGGTTGGTCAGGTCTGAGACTCAATCTCTCCCAGGGAAGAGGGTCCACATTTCCTCACATCTGATCTTTCCTACTAATGTCGATTCTATGTTCATAAAATGTAGTGACTCAGTGACACAGGTTCCCTGAGGTTTCTGGTCATTTACAAAAATTTGTCTCAAGAGGGGTGAAGGGAAGGCTGGGGAATGGGGAAAAATAAGAACCAAGATAAGTCTCCTAAAGGTACAAGATCCCAATGATGACTGCAACTGTACTGTATAACTAAATTGTACCAATAAATTAAATAAAGATAAAAATAAAATAAAAATAAATAAAAAAGAGAACACAGCACTAACCACAAAAGCATTTTCATCGAAGTGAAGCAGTGAAGAATTGGAGTCGGCTGTGAGGAACGTGTGTTCAGTGTTAAAGACGCAGCAATCCAGTCTGTTCTGGAACTCTCCACAAACTTAGGCGTCACTGTTTAGAAAAAAGATGAGGAAAAGCTCTCCAGCTGAATTTGGATTTATATTCTCATATGTCATCCAGATAACACACTTCTTGGGTTACATTTAGCCTTGGCTATTGTAATTTTGGATTTTCAGTGGAGCATTACAAATATTTGAAATGGAACATTGAGAACTAGCAAAAGCATAAGCCCTCTCATATTTTTATTAACAAGTCATTTAATGTCTATCTTTAATACTATCCTTTTAGAACCAATTGCATATTTACATGTTTTTTCACTGGGTAAACATTTATTTTCCTCAGATGTCTGTGTATTTCTTTCGGGGCATGGATTTGCAGTATGCTATACATTTGAAGTATGCTATACATTTGCAGTACGCTATACATAACTACATTTGCTTGTTTCTTGCATCAATTATTGAAGAGAAGGTGGGGCAATGGGATTGGTTAGCTGATTGCACTCTCAGTCTGCCGAGTCATCGTCACAAGGCGTATGAAAACTCCACAGAGCCTTGCATAAATTATAGCAGCACTGATACCCTTCTTTCCACAAGAGAAGGATTGTGACAAGCAGAAAGGTCAGACCTCGCCGTGCGTCCTGACCACTGCCTCACACAGACTACACTCGGCACATGTTACGTAAATGTAAAAATGGATGCAGGAATGATTCAGGAGTTTGGAATATGCAGTTTTCTGAAAGTATTATTTCTATAAACCAGAAACTGTAAAATTTTAGTATTATCAAAGAAAGACAGTGTTTTGTTCAGCTGAATTATCAAATAAGTGAAACTTAGTGCTTATAACTGTAAACATTTTTCTTTTCTTTTTTGGTACCAGGGATTGAGCTCAGGACCTTGTGCTTCCCAGGCAGGCATAGCATCCCTGAGCTAAATCCCCAGCCCCCTGAACAAACATTTTTAAATGTGATCCAACCTGTGTCACACACTGTTACAACTGGGGGTCTTGGTTCTGAAATCCATGATTTCTGTTGCTGTATAACAAGGATCCCTGGGCTAACCAAGTGGGCAGGATTGAAATGGCTTTGGCACACCAGGCTGTGAGGTTTCTTACCACTTGTTTTAGATTTTCTTTTTGTTTTGTCCTTCACTTTGGGGCTGGAAGCAGTGAAATTCTGTTGCTTCAAGATATTTATCTCTAGAAATTTTCATTGGTCCTCTCATTGTAATTCCTTTCCCTGGTTTTTAAATACATAAACCTGGTCATTTCATACCTGAGATCCTCTTGTGAGCTGCCACAGGTGAGTGACTATAGATGAGGTGCATGAACTCTGATAACTCCGGTCAGTGCCCAAGGCCTCTGGCTCATTCTTTCAGCCCTTGGACATAGTTGAGTGTCCAGAATGATCCGGACTGTTTAAGTATTACTGACCTTTCCTCAGGTAGCTGCTGATAAAAACCAAACCAACCTTTGTCATTGGCATCCGTTTATTGCTAGGCCAGATCCCTGTTATTTAAATAAGTAGTAATTTCTCTCTTCCAATCTTGTCCAAATTAGGTTGATCAGATCCTTCATGAGGAGTTCCCACCATCTGACTTCTCAAACAAGGTAAGGCTGGGGCTTCATCTAGCCCAAGAGGAAAGATATCCTTCTACAAGTACATGACATACACCTGTGAGGAAAGTAGAGCAACCACTGTGGCACTAGATCCTTGAGCTGTTAGTACCCTCAGCTGCTCAGAAGAATGGCTTCCTTATTAATAGTTTGTAAACAAGGACACTGGGTGTCAGAGAGGCTAAGTTCCCCCCGTTCCCCGAGTCAGATAGTTAGGAAACAATGAAGTCAGAATAAAAATGTCAGTTCATTTGTCTTCAGAAAGCACACATTTTCCCCTGCTCTCCATGGTCTAAACATTGGAGTGCAAAAGTAACAACTATACTCCCGTGTAACTGCATGTGCTCATCTTACTCTGATTCTGCTGCTGTCACAGAATTCCCGAGCCTGGAGAATCTCCAAAGGACGTGGGCCTCCAGCTAGAAAGCCCAGCAGCAGGGCGCTGTCCTCTGGCGAGGCCCTTCCAGCTGCATGAGCCCATGTTGGGATGTAGAAGGGCCAGACAGGGTGACAGCAGCAAAACAGGGACAGACTCGCTCTTCAGCTCCCAGCACAGAGCCTAGGGGACGCACTGGAACCACAGCAGAGCTGTTTCCGACAGGCGGAGAACTTTATGGCCACGCCAGAGATTTGTCAGCTTAGAGGCTCATTTCTCGTTCGGCTCCCTTGGGGCTGTGATGATGATTTTTATTTTTAAAAACTGTCCTTGAAGGAATTATGTAAACATCAAAGGCTTGTAGTATTTTTAGTTCTTACTAGTGTATGGTTCTTACAGAGTCTCAACAGTGAGGAGTAAATTAGGAATTTTAACGAAGCAGCAGGCTGAGTGCCCCTGGACAGACATCATTTAAAGATGACAATTAGGCCACCACGGTGTAACAGGTCCTTTCTGGAGAGGGTGAGATCCTTGCCCCACCCTAGACTTTTTGTGAGGCAGATGCCTTAGGCAGCTAACAGGAAGAACAAGAAACAGAAGGAGGGATGGCCCTTTCCGTGGCCTGGTGCTGAAACCCAGAAAATGAGCACCTGGCTGGGGAAATTCTCTGGCAGTTACTGTGCTTCTCAGGTGAAAACTAAGACCTGCGATGCTGACACAATAGCAACATCTGCTGGTGTTTTGATAGAATTACACAAACCATGGATGCATTCTTCTAAGTGACCATTTAGTTGTGAATTTTTATTTACGTGCTAGTGATGGGGCACAAATACTGGAGATATAAATGGGGAGAATCTGTGGGGTCCTGAAGAAATAAAAGGCATGAATAGTGGTTCAGAGCAAAGACTCACAAATATTTCTTAGAATGACAAGAAGTAAATTGATGAGATGTAGGATTTAGACTTGGATCATTGACTCAATTCCAACACAGGGCGCTATTTCAGGGCTACTGGTCTGAGTGACTTTGCATTTCTTACATACACTGAGTAATTGTATGCTTTTGACCAGTTAAAGCAAAGAACAATACAGGATGGCCCATGCAGAATTGACACAGGATGTGTAAATGGAGATAAACTGCCAACAGGTCATACCAGGCTTTTCTATTAAAGCCCTGCATGGGAGTGCCTTACAGGCATTGTACGCTCCATTTACCCAAAACTGAGCTCGTGACGTCTACTCCTGGCACTCGAACTTGTTTTCTCATTGTGATCTCTTAGCAAATGACACCACCTCCTCCAAAGTTACAGGTTTCCGAAACCTTGCGCTTCGTTATTTCTGAGTAACCTCTTCTACGATTAGTCCCCGTGCTGTCAGTCCTGTAAATTATGTCCGCTTGTGTCGACACACGTTTCCAATCATCAGCGCACAAGCCACCGTAGTTGTGCATTGCTGTCGACCCATGTTTGATTACTCTCTTACACACCCTACTCTGCCCACCCACCAAGAAAGGGGAAGACCTTCCCTTTATAGGGCTGAGGAAGTGTGTGAGTGAGGCAACATATATGAGACAAATACAAATCAGCGAATATTGGACAAATACAAAGCAGTGAATATTGGACAAATGTCCAGCCTTGCACATCCAGCCACAAGTCTTGTGTAGGTCATGAGAGTTATTGGATTGGTAGAAAAAGGACTTTATAAAACATGATATATGGGCTCTTTCCTTGCACATCAATATACGACTGGCTTTAGAATCACTTTAGTAGGAACTGGCCAAGAAAAAACACCACAGGGCTGAGCTCTGAATGTTACTGCTTGATTAGCTGAACACTGGCTGGAGCAAATCACAGGTGCTCCTGTGTCCTGATGGATGGCTGAAGCATGCAGGACTCAGGCCAAAGAGAAAATTAAGGACCACACGTTACAAGGCACTGCAGGACCGCTGTCCTTGCTGGTCGTTTGTCCCCACTAACACTGACATGTCTGCCTTTTCTCGTCCCTTTTAAAGGCAGACTTGATGATGCACTGAGACAGGACATCCACTGCCTCTGGTGCAACTGTCGCCTTATTTTATAGTAAAAAGTGCTATTTTAAAATATGTCCCCGCTATAGTAAATTATCATTAAGTGGAAATCAGACAGCAAGACTTGAACATCATTACACCACAGGATTATATTTGAGTTAACATGTTCTTGCTCTCATTCCCTGGAGTACAGTGTTTGATTAAAAACAAAAATGGCCAAAAGTAAAAATTCACTTCAGTAAAATTGAACTCAGAATTGACTATAAAAACAAGCACTACAATACAAGGTGTCAAAATTTAGGGAATACACCTAAAGTAGACCTTAAGGAAAATGTAGAGTTCTGCATGCTTGTATTGGAAAACAAGAAATATATGAGTTCAGTGACTTCAAGTTTTGCTTCACAAAGCCAGGAAAAAGAGAACAAAATAAACTAAAAGCAAATAGGGGAATAAAAAATAAAAAAAAAAGTCGGGGAATAAAGATAAGGGAATCAACACAGTAAAAAAACTACAGACAGTGAAGAAAACTAACAAGGCCAAAAGCTGGTTCCTTGAAAAGATGAACGAAATTCACAACCCTCTCGTTATACTCTACATGCTAAAAAGAGGGAAGATGAACTCCAATGGTGGAGAGAAAAAAGAGTTATCACCACAGATGTTACAATGTTGACAGGGCACAGTGAGCAATTGTAGGCCAACCAAGCTGACAACTTAGATGAAATGCACAACTTCACCTTCTGTTTTGTTTTTGCTACCGCTGCTGTCCTACCAACCACTGCCCAAACTCAGTGGCATAAAACAGTCACTTCATTCTGCTCATGCGTTTCTGGGTTGGGTTTTCAGACAAGGAATGGGGATGTTTCTTTTCCATCCTACATCATGTAGAGCCTCTGCAGAGACCAAAATCCAAGCACAACTCAAAGGCAGAGCCTGGAGTCCCCTTTGAGTGCCTCACGTGGATGCCTGGTGGGAATGTGGGTGCAGGTGGCCCCACAGCAGATCTAGGAACCGAGAAGCAGCTGGGCATCTCCATGAGGTCTGTGCCTCTTCAGAGCACAGCCTGGCTGAGGCCTGGACCTCCCACCCGGAAGCACAGATCTCCTGAGGTCCTTGTCCAGCACCAAGGCAGATGCCTTGTCTCAAGGTCCTGTCTCCTGGCCACGTCTCAGAGACACTTGGCTTCAATTGTGCTGTGTTCATTCTCAGTTCCGAGTAGGTTAGCAGAGTCGAACATTTCTTCATTTCTTCCAAGTTCAAAGCAAAGCCTCTCCTCTCTTTCGTTCTAGCACAGGAACCTGTATGAGATCACGAGGCACCGTCAACACTCTCCTTAGACATCGCCTTGCCTGGAGCACCAAGTGCATTTGCATCTTCTAGGTTATCACAAGTAACTTCGTTCCTCCTACTTCCAACAGCGATTCTCCTGTCCTCCCAGGCTCCCTGAGCCAAATCCCCACATGTGTCCAGCTCTCCCCAGTGCTTTGCCAAGTCCCCCGGGCTGCTTCTTGCCCACTCTACAAGCCAGGACCACGTTTTGTCATACAGCTCCTTATTCCAATTACAGATCTGTCTGCCACTTATTATTGCTACCAAGTGACCACCTTCCAGTCTAATGGTCTAGTTGTTACACGTAGCTCATGACAATCATTACTGTTGTAGCATTTACATGATCTCTGGGACAGAGATCCCAAAAAAGAATGAAAAGAATGCAGCACTGAATCCTCCTTGCTCCTTGATATCAGTGAGCTAAGAAGACCAAAGAGCCAAAGTCCTTAAGGCCTAAGAACGGGCATCGCCAACAGGGCTGCGGCTCGTCCACCCAGGCTCCTCCTCATGGCTGGCTGAATCCACAGCCTCTGCATGGACCACCTGGTCCATTGTTATCAGCACAGCCGCTGCCACACTGTTCCCTCAAGTGCGTGTGCCAGCTCATGCCTCCGTCAGCCAGACCACGAGTAAGCACTATTCCACATTCTCACCAACATTTGCTTTTATACATCTTTACTTTAGCCTTTCTGGCAGGTACAAATAGTATCTCATACTTTAAAGAGCATGAAAATTAAAATAATGATGCTAAATTTTATTTCCCAAATAGCTTATAACATCGTGCAACTTCTGATGTACTTGTTTGAAATTTTATTTCTTTTTCTGTGAAGAATTGGTTCAAGATATTGTCCCTTTTCAAAAAGTGCATTTTTATTATTGATCTATAATAGTAGATATAATCATATTATACATATTGCTAATATTTTTCCACATGGTGGCTTGCTCTCTCATTTTAAAAAATGTATCTCTTGATATGTAGAAATACAGAATTCTGAAAATATTCCATTGATCAGCTCTTCCTTTATGATGCTTTTGTGTTCTGCTAACTGTGTGGGAATTTTTGTACCTGTATTGAGTTTTTCGTTTTTTGACTGTAAATGGATTTGCTCAGTAGTTGTTTTATCTTTCTTTCCTATTTATTACTAAATGATGCCATTTTATTTTAACTTTTTGTTCATATGTCCTATATTTCTTCTTTGCATAATGTCATTTTAGAAGTCATAAAGCCCCTTAACTCTTATTATTGAAAAATACTCTCCAATTTTATTCCTCTATTTCTTGATATAATTCCAATTCTGTAGTACATTATTTAGCTTCTTTTACTGCTAATTCTTTCCCTGTAATTTTTGCCTTTTTTGCCATATGCATATATGTAATTTCCATGCCAGCTTCTTTTTACCTAGATTTTCCTTATCTTTGGAAGACGTTATCTAAATGCTGAAAAAGTATGTGTGTGGAAAGGAATGGAAAGGAATTTGCTACTGAATTTTGAGCCAAAGTGAATTTAAAAAAAAAAATCAAGACTCTCCTCGTGATGTTATTGTTTTCCATGTTAATGTTATTCTCAATCTTGTTGTCATGGAAACTACTGGGTTTCACAAAGAAGGTCCAGGATTAAATCCCTATGCCTCCTCTACAGAAATAGAATGGTTGCTTCCCCTCCCTCATGTCTCCGTCTCTCTTTGACCACCTTCCTGGGTCTGGTTAGGTTGTCCACAGTAATGAATCAGTTCTAACTTCCTTGTAGGTCTGGTATGTGGTCCTGAGGCTGTAGAGGGTAATTCTTTTCCTTTCTCCTTCTCCTCCTTCCCCTCTCCTCTCCTTGTTCTTCTGTTTTTCTTTTTTTGTGTGTGGCCTGTTTGTACCTGTACGTACATCGCTTCAATTCAAGAATTATTGGTTCTTTTGGAACTGCGTCCCCATGTTCTATCTTTTCTAAGCATTGAGGAAGTCAGGGTTAACTCTCAGTGCTCAACTGCAGTCCAAATTTGCCACCTGTAACTGGTTTTCACTACACTTTTTGTTTTAGTCACAGCAACTGTCTTGCCTTGTTATTTTTTATTTTTATTGTTTGGCATAGTTTTAAGTGAAATCTAAATGAGTGGAATGAAATTTCTTTATTGTCTTCTCTAGAGCTAATTGATCATATTTTTGTTTCTGTGTTTTTGTTTTGTTTTTTCTTTTCTGGTACTGGGGAATCAAACTCAGGACCTTTGAGCTTTCGAGGCAGGCACAGAGCCACTGAGCTAAATCCCCAGTCTGATCATATTTTTGTGAAACCCATTCATTAAAAGATTCTAAGTAGATAATACTGAAGTGAAAGCCCGAGGCATGTGCTATGAAACCAGAATTTGAGTGGGATCTAGGGAATCTATTGTGTTTCCAGAGTGTGTGTGTCCTGGCGAAGTTTAGACTTCTTATAACCACTTTATAGGTTAAAAAACTGGTTCAGGGAAAACAACTTTTTTGTGTATGTTCAGAACTGGGAAAAATAGTAAGTTTCCTGACTCATGATTGTTTTTGTTGCTTTGTGTTTTGAGTGTTCTCTTTATCAAATTCATCCTCTCAAAAGATTTGTCAGCGGTTTTTGTTTCTCTTTACTTTGCTATTAATGGAAAGACCTATTGATCTTGCCAGACCAAAGATGACTCAGAATAACTTTTGGCTGATGGAAGATGCAAAGCATACCTCAAGGTCAGGAGAGCGTATACTAACAATTGTTTCGCTCCAGCATGTTCTCTGGTTAGATACTTACAATCTGGTTCTTCAAGGGATTCCGAAGAGACAACCTAACTCCACATAGCTTCCTTCCCTTCTCACATCACCTGTAACACTGCATGGATGGATACTAAGGAAAATTTTTGTAGAAATTCGCTCTTTTATCCTAATATCTGCTTATAGACAGAGATGATGCAGAAATGGAGTTGCTTCCAGTAGTTTCACCTGACTTTAGTAAACGTTGATGAACCACTCATTCATTGAGTCAAAGTTTTTGAATACTTAATTTCCAGGCCAGGGACATGGCTCAGTGGTACAACCCTTGTGTGGCATATGTGAGGCCCTGGGTTCAAAACCCAAGTGAAAAGAAAAATCAAGAGAAAAAAAGAAATGTTTGCCTCTATGTACGGAAGTAAGGCTAAAGGTAGCCATTTACTAGGTTGCTGAGATGGAACACGCAGTGTGTGGAACGTACTTCCTTCACGTTCCTATCATCTGCCAAACTAGTGCTCAAGAGATGCCACGAAGAACTGGAGACCGACGAAGACCACGTGAATGGGATGCCACGGAGGAAGAGTCACTGCCTCTTCCCACACTCTTCATGTAGACTGTGGCCTTTGCTCTTGACTTTCCCAGCTGCTAGGCGGGCGTTTGTGCCACAGCTCAGTCTGCTCAAGGACAGCAAAGGGACAAAGGACTCTGGCTAGATTTTTTCCACTAACCACTGATACAAGATCCTGATAAGAGTCAACTGATGGGCTTAAAATCTTAAAAACTTCGTGGCATTCTTACCTAAGGCCTGGTATTAATCTTTAAATAAATGTGCTACATCATGGTTTATATTAGTCTGGGTAGGTTTCAGTTCTTTGAGAACAAATGTTTCCTGAGATGACAGAGAACAGGGTCCATGCGAGGGGAACTTCATCAGGTGGACAGCTCAGAGTGGGGGACGTCTGAGGGAGAAGTGGCAGGTCACAGGAGTATGGGAATACACAGAGTGACCAAAATATAGGGTGAATGTTTACATTAAAACAGGAATGACGAGATAGGTGTGTCCAGAGAGGGGAGAATTTTGAGGGGCATTAATTGCCACATGTCTTTAATAATTTTTAAACATTTTTATCACACCTCTTACATAGAGTTTTGAGAATAACAGCAAGCATTTCGGTATGGATAGATTAATGTCTGTCTATGAGAAAGTAATAAAAAATGTACGGTCCAAAGGTGATAAGAATAAAATTGCAAAGGATTCTATACATCAAGCCAAGGAATTTGGACTTTACCCTAAATTTCAGGCAATGAGAGTCCTTATCAGATCAGGCTGCACTATGGGTTTTGGCTAAGATCCCCTATGTGTGTGTCTGTGGAATAAGACAGACAGGAACAGCATGCAGGCTGTGCCTGGCCTCAGTGAGGGCGGCTTGCACAGCTGCGTTTGCATGGTGTCGCGCCCTGGAGCCAGGCATCACCTGTGTTCCTGTCTGCCAGTGCGCAGTAGCTGGCCACACCCCAGGACACTGAAGGACAATGCCTGGGGTGCGGGATCGTGAAAACAGCTTCTTAATTCTTCTAAATTGTGGCTTTACATAACTTCTGTAGCACTCCATAGCAAATAGTTTAGAGCTTGATGATTTAGGGGTAACCGTGCAAAGTGACAGCTGTGCACATACCTAGTGGTGTGGAGCTAATATGTACAACCATGTACAACAATCACTTGTCCTATCAACAAGTCCTGCTGACTCAGAAAGATTGCTTTGCTATTCATGCCAATAAAATTATTGACATGGGCTGCTTCTGAAGCCTTTAAACTGTGACTCTGAATTTCATTTCTTGTAATCTCTACTTCACTAAATCTTGTATGACTGTTAGGTAGCATTTAATCTATGCATTGAGATACTAGAGTTAATATTAATCAATATAATGTACCAGAGTTAATATTAGTAGGAAATTAAACAAGATAATTGACTTTTTTTTAGTAAGCATGAATCCAGAGGGAGATACCTACGAATGTGCTCCTTGTAAATAATGATAACAAGTAAGGTTTATGTGAGCTTCTCAAAATTAAAATGTATATTTACATACTTAATCTTGATATTACAGATTTAATAATTTATACCATACCTGAGATTAATTATCAAATGAAGTATTTATTATCTCACTTGAATATGTGAAAACTATCCATAATAAGTTAGCCAAACTTCCAACTAATACAAGGCTGACCACAGGCTAAATGTTAATTCAAAAGCTTTTGTTTCTTCCGTGGTATTAGGACTTCTATAAAATCATTTATTGTTTTTAAAATTCTTAAGTAGAGATTGGTACTTATTATTATATTGTCATTCAGTTCTTAAAAGAATAAGAAAAATATTATTTCAAACACATTAAGAAAAACATCAGGAAAAAAATACAGAGAAGGTAATTATCGCCATTACCAAATTTTCTTCATTATAGAAAGATTCAGTCCAGGTGCCATTAAATAATAGTCAATAAATAAAATTTTATTTACAGAAATTAAATTTATGCAAAACTTTGTAGAAATATAGGTCATCATACAGTTAAAAAAAGAACAAAAGAAGTTAGTCTAACTTCAGCTATTTTGTAAAGTGAAATAAAAGTGACTTCATTATCTGACTCTTTAGTTCTAAGTTATTAATAAAGCAATTTGTGTTTTTGCTTTGTTAGCCTCCAAGGAAAGCATGATTTAATTTATTTCAATAACTACTTATTGAGCACAAGTACATATACAGCACGTATGTAGGAACTGGAAGCATGTAATTACAAAAACCCATGGCCCCGGGTCTCCACTGAGCAGTACACAGGCATTGGTATGACAAGGCAGATTTGGGTGAATGCTACACACTAGAGGTGTAATATTTTATAAAGGCACAGGGAAAGAAGCTGTCTGATAAGGAGTGTAAGTGAATATAAACT